TCTTTTTCCGTCATTTTTATCTCAGAAAGTGTTGTACGTCTAACTCTTCATAAAGTTTATCAACTTGTACATCAAGTGCTCAATGTTTGCGTGTGACCTTTGACATGGCGCGTGCAGAAATTCCTAATCGCGGGCTATCGATTAGGGGAACCCTTACATTTTTGTCCTGTATACGCTCCATGAGTGTTTTTCGGGGAATCCAGTATTTTTCTAGTTAGATTGGATATCTCTACTTTCCATATATAGCAAAATTGCCATACTTTTATTGGAAATAACCACCTGATAAATAGTTTTCTAGGAACCCATCTTTAACACAAATTGATTATTTAACATTTAATTAAGAAACCATTATATCAACAATAGTTAATCTGCTAAGTTGGATTTAAGCTGATTAAATAGAGCTGTAATTAAAGATACATTATGTGAGATTTTTATAAGGAGTTAGCCATTCTTGCTATAATATAATAGTTAAAAAATAGATAATGAAAGAAGAATATATTCAAAATTTCAGTCAAATTACTTTATTCTGAACATAGTTATCACCAGTGTAATTTTTTACTAGAAATGGGATTGAATTGCATCTTCACCGATTCTTAGTATGGCCGATCGTTTGATTGACAGGCGTTAACTCCACCTACATAATCTCTGCTGTCTTTTGTCTGCTGTCATCATATCCGAATTTGTGTTTTACCTTTTTGGATTTTTATAACAATTGGACAAAATGAGTGAGAGGGTAAATTTTCATTCTTACTTGTATTTTGGGTATGCATTAAATCAATTGAATATAGGACATAATATTATATACTATTCAAAAAAAGTAGGGGATATTTGATTTTTAAGTGTTATTAAAGTCATCTAATGAAACTGACGAAGAAACAAATGACAAAATGAAATGAAGTTATCATTCATCGATTTATTCCAAATGATCGTTAGACTAAGTAAGGCACAGACTGACCATTATAAGGGTAAAATGATACCCGGGGTCAAACAGCAAAGTTACCACAGCATCACAACCAAGTCAGTAACGGGTAAATCCTCCTCTGTTTGCCAAACAAGCATTGATCCGACGTGGCATACTCCTAATGAGACGTCTAAGGTCATTTTGGTCCAGATTGTCCCATTCCTGTTGCAACGCAGCAGCAAGTTCTTGGACATTGGCAGGACGTTGTTGACGTTGACGTAACCTCTGTCCAAGCATGTCCCAGACATGCTCGATGGGGGAGAGGTCGGGACTCAGTGCTGGCCAAGGTAATGTGGTGATGTTCTGTTGTTGGAGGTAACCTGTAACGATCCTGGCCCTGTGACATCTTGCGTTGTCATCCTAAAAGATGAAACGGCGGCCAAGATGTTGTCCCGGTAGTACTGGCCTGTAACACGCCCTGCAACAACATGTAAAGCCGTTCTTCCAGCAACAGTGATGCCTCCCCACACCATAACAGAACCACCCCCAAATCGATCATGTCTGATGACGTTAATGTCTTGGAAGCGCTCGTTTCGACGACGCCACACCCTCCTACGTCTGTCCAAAAAATCAACAGTGAACCTTGACTCATCTGAAAACATCACATTGCTCCAGCGTCGATTATCCCAGTGTTGACGATCCCTACACCAACGACGTCTTGCCTGAATGTGATGATCTCTCAAACAAGGGATCACGCGAGGACGTCGGACGCGAAGGTGACCCCTATGCAGTCGATTCCGAATCGTCTGGCCACTCACTCTCACACCAGTGTCTGTTTGAAGACGAGCGCTGATCTGATTTGCTGTGATGACACGATTTCTCAAGGCCAAGGTACGGATAAATCGATCCTGGGCTTGAGTTGTCGCCCTTGGTCGACCTGAGCGTGGTCTGTCCTGTACAGATTGTGTATCACGGTATCTGGACCATAGCCTGCTTATGACAGACTGAGAAACATTCATCGTCCGCGCCACAACCGCCTGTGTTGTGCCGATCTGTAGCATGCCAAGGGCACGTAACCTTTCATTTTGGGTAAGCCGACGCATATCAAAATTTGTTTTCTGGTCACTAAAACAATTAAACTGATGTTTCCACCCTGGAATTCAATGCCACAATGACTGTAACATTCAAAGTCAGAGTCGTGCAAATCTTGGGTTGGACCCCCATGATGATCCCAAGCATCACCTGCATTCCATGCGGTAGCTATTGGTGCGTTTGGGCGTCACATGTAACTGGAAATGTTTCTTCTGTTAGGTTCTATAGTGACTTTTTTCGTAGTCATTTGCATATTTTAGTATTATGCCCCCAAAATCAAATATCCCCTACTTTTTTTGAATAGTATAATACAATTATGATAAATCTAAAGGTATACACCAGTGCGTCGTGCCTTTTAGGGAAATAAAAATATTTTTATTGATATTATTAAGACATAAGACCTGTCCGTCTGTATAAATCATCTCACGGTCACCAGGAATTGTATAATTTGTCATTATCTGTGTTTAGATGTCATTTGTTAAGGCATCGCTCAACAGCGGCACGTGCGTGCTGTATCATACATGTAAGGCCTGTCATTGAGTCAACTGGCGTGGTTTCGAATCCCTGGTTGTACATGACAAGGAGTAGGGTCGCCTGTTCAGCCTCGTGGGTTTTCTCCGGGTCCTGCAGTTTCCTCCCACTGCTAAAGAACCCTACATGTACGCGCAAGCAAATTGTTCAAATAAAATTAAAACCATATGTTAGTCCCGAAATGACCTAATTTGTGTTGAGTGGACGTTAAACCCCATTTTCTCTCTCTCTCTCTCTCTCCTCTCAAAACTTTGCATTCCCAGGGGGGATACCTGAAACTATAAATAAACTCATGTTAGAAGCATGTCTGTCATCTCACTGCTTGAGTGAGCGTCCATTTTCCAGAATGTAGGCCTATTTATCATTACTTTCTGTCCATTAACCATACACATGTTCAGAATGTTTAAAGTAGCTAAGTCTCTAACTCAAAATCTTCGACATTGAAAGCAGGATTTACAGGGAAAAGATGGGCTTCTGATATCCAATATTCAAGACAAAATAAACATTTTACCATTGGTACACGAATTGTGTACCATAATGCGTTTCAGCGCCATTTGGAACAAGGGACTCAAAGAACGAGGCTAGGCTTATTCCACAAGTCATGTGAAATGGTGACACTATATTCTTATCTGGAGAGCATGCGCAATAAATACCATTGGTGAAGACTGGAATAACCAGACGCTAAAGATTGTCATTTAATTGAGACTTTGGCGTATTTCGCCGAACATAACTGATTACAGTAAAAAGAGAAACGATTGAATGTAAATCAGTTTATATACATTCATATTACATTATTATATGCGCTGCGACCCATTTGTGTCAATTTCTAGGTCCCAAATATTAGCGATTTAGCTCCTTTAAACTTTTAAACTTGATGTAAATGTTCATTAGGTGAATGTCCTGACTGAGTTCAATGATTAACATTTCCAGCTAAAGCTAAGTCGGGCTAATCAATTTTATTGGTCGATGCTTTGGGACAAGATAACTTTGATTCTATCTGATACAGTGATAGAGAGTGATAAAACTTAGAGTATAGTTGATAATCACTTTGATTGCTTGATACATGTACTTTTGAAAAAAATAAATGTGCGATTAATTATTATGTGTCATCTATTTATTTTGGGATTTCGACGGGGGACATCAGCCTTACTGTTGGCTTATTATTTTCTGTCAACTTCTTTTTCCGTCGTTAAATTGCAGAGTCTTTTGTACGCTGACACCTCTCAATATTTACAAAACCGTCAAGCAATTTGATCAAGAAATAACAACCACTTCCTAAGTCAAGATGACAGACAATAAGCCGTCGGGTTTCCAGTTAATACTACCCTGACATTTTTGCCAAGTGCTTGCCCCATGGGTGTTTTTGGGGTAATCCAGTATTTTTCTTGTAAGATTAGGTATCTATACTTTCCATAACAAATTTGCCATACTTTTATTAGAAATAATCACCCGATAAATACTTTCTGGACAATGTATCTTTAAATCATATAAATTGTTTAAGCTCTGGTAACCATGACAATTTGGTGTCATTTAATAGCCTCTAATCACTGTTTAATGTCCTGGTACTAACAATATTATGGGCAAAACATTTAAATATAAATAGAAAATTTGTATTGTGCTAGATAAATGTATTGTCATAAAATAATCTAAGCTGAGGTAAACAAAATTTGACCTGTTGGCAAAATTGAAAAACATGAAGTAGGGCATAGGACTTTTTGCTCAAGTCTATTTAAAATGAGTATTCACCAGGGGGTTATTTTGACCCTGACACAATATTGATCCCCTTCACTGCTTAAGAACCTTGCGCTCCAGCAAATTATTGACAACAATATATCATGACATGTATGTTGATCCTAAAATAACATACTCTCTCTCTCTCTCTCCGGGGGGGGGGGGGGGAGTGGGGGTGGATGGTCAAATGGTTAGCATGTGCGAATGGTTAGCATGCGTGTGCGCATTGTATCATAAGGCCTGTCGTTGAGTCAACTGGCGTGGTTTCAAATCCCCAGTTGTACGTGACAAGGAGTAGAGTTGCCTGTCCAACCTTGTGGTTTTTCTCCGGGTCCTCCGGTTTCCTCCCACTGCTAAAAACCCCTACGCGCAAGCGAATTATTGAAATAAAATTAAAAACCATATGTTAGTCCCGAAATGACCTAGTCTGTGTCAAGTGGCCAATAAACCCTCTCTCTCTCTCTCTATATATCTCTCTCACCCCCCTCCCTCCGCCTCTACCTCTCCCTCCCCTCCCCTCCCCTCCCCTCCCCTAACAGCACACTGCATGACAGGAAAATATGACCTTGTACAACATCATATCATTTCATCTTATTTCTCTTCTAATGATTTATCTGGCAAGGGAGATAATAATGTGTATTGGGTTGTCCTATTGTAATGAGTATCGATGTTATCTGGCAAGGGAGATAATAATATGTATTGAGTTGTCCCATTGATTGTATTCTGTTTTTCATTTCACTTTCAGCAAGCGAAAGCTGAACAAGAGGAAGAGTTTATCAGTAACACATTATTGAAAAAAATCCAATCATTGAAAAAAGAAAAAGAAACATTGGCCATGAACTATGAACAGGAAGAAGAATATCTGACCAATGATCTTTCAAGAAAATTGATGCAGGTAAGTCTCTTACATGTACCTTATATGGTATAATGCTATCACGGCTGCCCTTGTGACAAACTCACTCTTAACAACTGAAGATTAGACGATCTTGAGGTCCTCCAGTTTCCTCCGACAGCTAAAAAAACCCTACACACAAGCAAATTATTGAAATAAAATTAAAACCATATGTTAGTCCTGAAATGACCTAGTTTGTGTTGAGTGGAGTTAAACCCCATCTCTCTCTCTCTCTCTCTCTCTCTCTCTCTCTCTCTCATTGGCAGAGAAAGTTTTTGGGATTTACCGACTAATTTCCCCATGTCTGTGGTGCAGGAAGGAGGACCTGAAATGGACAGCTGTCTAGTCGTTCTGATGGGAAGAAAAACCAAGGCCCTGTGTATACATTGGCATGCACGTAAAAGATCCCTTGGCAGTTGGAATTCGATATAAGACTAGGCCATAGTGCCGCGGCCCAGGCAGAAATTTCCCTCATAGCACACTATAGTGTATGCCCGTCTTCATTAGCCCTGTCAGAGCAGAACAGTAGGACGTTAAACCCCATTTCATTTCATATTAAAAATTGACCTGCACTTTAGATCATAAGGTCTGTGATTGATTTAACTGACTTGGCTTCAATTCCCTGCTTGTACATGACAAGAATAGGGTCGCCTGCCTAACTTCGTAGGTTTTCTCTGGGTCCTCCAGTTTCCTCCCACTGCTAAAGACTTGTACGCACAAGCAAATTATTGAAATATGTAAGTCCCAAAATGATCTAGTTTTTACGAATTTTTAAACAAAGATTTGATATTCAACGAATGTGAAAGAAATTAGTGCTAGATACATAAGATTAAATGATATCTGATTTACAGTGGTAGTAGTCATATTTAATACAAATTTCCTGTTTTTCTACATTCAACAGTTGCGACAAGAGAAAATGGAGCTGGAACAGACACTAGAAAAAGAACAAGAATACCAAATAAATAAACTGATGAGAAAAATTGAAAAATTGGAAGCGGATACACTTTCTAAACAACAAACATTAGAACAGGTAAAATTCTCGTTAGTATGACAGTAGATCAGGTAACATTCTCGTTATTATGACATTAGATCAGGTAATATTCTTGTTAGTATGACATTACAGCCCTAGAAATTCACGCGAATCTCCGAATCGAATTCACGCAAGGATTCTCGTAAGAGTTTACGCTGCAAATCTACAAGGATCCGTGTAAAAAAATTCTAAAAAATGTTGATTGTAAAACAATGAATCGGCCACTATGGTATCATAAATAATCAATCCACTTTCGATTAAATTACAATGGGTTAATTATTACTTGTTAATTAATCCGAGTAATTAGCACATTTAACGGTGATTTTGATAATCTAGTAAAAAAACAAAACAAGCTTATTGATTATTCATAATATCAATAGGTTCAGTAAAATAAGCCATGTAGCGAATGAAGATGATCTCGGCATGGTTTGCGAATCGCGCGTCTTTCACGCTCCGTCCGTGTGAATTCCAAGTACCCGTAGATATTAAAATAATAGCTGGATCATACATTGATGGATTCATTGACCAGTTGTTAGGTAAATTTAAATCTTCATTGAATATAATCCCCTGATAGAACAACGAATACACGGAGGAAGAAATAGTGGGTATTTTCCCGACAGAATCTTCAATGTCGAATTTCAATGACACGCGGCATATCGGTAGGAATTAGGTTGATAAACCAGATCTAAATAGCGTTTACCATTATGATTGTTTTATACACATGCTGACAGAGGCTTAATTTTTAAAATATTTTTGAAGGCTATATCATAGTCTTACAGAATTTTATTTTATAGCAATTTCAGTTATGGTTGTCACGTGATCATTGTGCCGTTTGTCTATCATTGACGAATGAATAAAAACTTTTGAAAGTTACGTGAATTACAAAAGACTACAAATTGTGTTATGAAGAGATGCTGTGGTGCCGTATCAGCTTATTTTGGCTACAGCATTTTTTGAAACTGGCAATAACCAATAAACACAATTTTGTTTTTTAGACAGTGTTTTAATTAAGATTCGGAGGATTCGCGCAGACGGCATATATCAGAATCCTCTTAGATTCTCGCAAAAAATGACGAATTTTTAGAAAGCATTTAGATCGGGTAACATTCTTGTTAGTGTGACATTAAAACAGGTAAAATTCTCGTTAGGACGACATGAGAACAGGTAAAATTCTTGTTAGTATGAAATTAGATCAGGTAAAATTCTCGTTAGCATGACATTAGATTAGGTAAAATTCTCGTTAATGACATAAGAACAGGTAAAATTCTCCTTAGTATAAAATTAGATCAGGTAAAATTCTCGTTAGCATGACATTAGATCAGGTAAAATTCTCGTTAACATGACATTAGAACAGGTAAAATTCTAAATAGCATGACATTAGATCAGGTAAAATTCTCATTAGCATGACATTAGATTAGGTAACATTCTCGTTAGTATGACATTAGATCAGATAATATTCTCGTTAGTATGACATTAGAACAGGTACATGTAACATTCTCATTAGTATGACATTAGAACAGGTTCATGTAACATTCTCATTAGTATGACATTAGATCAGGTAGTAGACATTAGATCAGGTAGTAGACATTAGATCAGGTAAAATTCTCATTAGTATGACATTAGAACAGGTAGTATGACATTAGAACAGGTAACATTCTCGTTAGTATGACATTAGAACAACAGATAAAATGTATAAAATACAAACTTCAATCTCATTAATTTTAATTACCAGTACACATTTTAATTTGTAATGAATTACACATTTCTAGTTAGGGTTGAGTTAAGCCCCATCTCTCTCTCTCTCTCTCTCTCTTTCTCTCACTCTCTATTTTGTAATGAATTACAATTATATTTTGTAGTTGAGAAGAGAAAAGGTAGAATTGGAAAATGCTCTAGAACAAGAACAAGAAAGTTTAGTGAACAGATTATGGAAAAGAATGGATAAATTAGAATCTGAAAAAAGGTTTGTGCCCTTTTTCAAAATATGTTTTATCAATATGAACAAAAGACCGACTAATCTAATTAACTACATAACAGATAATCATTTCTTGTTTTATCTTCCATAAGACAGAGGGGCTGACAAGGACAACTGTCTAGTCCTTTGGATGGGACGGAAACAGAGGTCCCGTGTATACATTGGCATTGCTTGTGGACGCTCTAGTTGCTAACATTAATATCCGATTGACTTGAAATTTATTCATGAGACAAAGAATCATATTGATTTTCAGCGATTTCCGATAATTACTACCATAGTTATGGCCCCTGATCACTTTGAAAAATCTTGTGGATGCTCTTGAGGCTAAAGTTAATATAAATTGTTTAAGGTCATAAGACAAACAAATTCTAATGTTTTCTAATAATTACTTCATGGGTTGTTACTCGTAATCAGATTTTCATGTGTGACAACCATTGTTGACTGCTCGAACGACTTAGCTAATGTAGGCATATGTTTCGTTGCCTGGCAACCTATCTTTATCATTCTGATTTTAATTGAATTTCAGAATGTTACAAGAAAAATTAGAGCAGCCGGTATCAGCGCCACCTTCACCACGAGACATGAACAATGGTGACACAGCACATAATCTGATGCAACATATTGGAAATTTACGTGGAGAAGTTTCAAGGTTAAAAGGTCAACTACGAGCGGGTCAGCTTGAACGTAAGTCAGCAAAGCTGTAATCCTTGGTCGTAATTCACATAAAAACTTAAATTGAAATTATGTTAAGAAAGCAGTCATTCCATTGGTTCAGAGTTGAATATCCTAGTACAAATTTTAGCTCTTCGACCAATGAAATAGCAGAAGTCTTAAATTATTTTAATTTAAACATACATTATGCAAGAGCTAAATCTGCCTATTGCAGTTCTTTCATTAGGCCACACAAAATAAATGTCTTGTTTCTCGGGCAACTGACAGCTGAAACTGTAGGGAGGGAGGGCGGTTTCTTTTTTTTTTTTACTCATTGATGGTGCAAAATAAAATTTGGCTATTGCTGAAAATTGTTGGGGCGGGAGGGCGGTCTTTCTTTTTTTTTTTTTTTAAATGAGAAAGTCATTACTTGTTTACGTTTTTGCTTTCCGTTATATTCAACTTTATTGTACATACTTAAAACATAAACCCAAAATCAAGTCTACTAAAACACTGAGACTGAACACTGACTGAAAGGAAAATAATTTTCCATATTTAATTCACATAATTGAAATTGGTTTAAAATAAAATTCCATACGACTATGTAATAGCCCTCCATAAAGACAACAATATTTTTAAAAACTAAGCCTCTTTCACCAGGTGTATCAAAAATAATAATCATGGTAAACAGTATTTAAAACTAAATCTAGTATCGCCGGTTTATTTATAATTATTTACCGAATTCCAACCAATGCATGTCACACCGTGTCATCGGTATTGGAGATTGCCGGAAATACTGTTTCTTGGGATATTCGGTGTGTTTCTCAGGATATTCGGTGTTCTATCCACCAGATTCTAAGGTATGCATTATGACGACTATCGTCATCGTATCGTATTCTTAGCTATAATTAATTAACCTGTTCTACGGTTCATTATTTTATCAATAGGATTTTCCAAACAAGGACCGACTGAAGCCGGCAATAATGAGCCGATTACGATCGAATGATTGAAATATTGTCGCCAATGACTTTTAACATGAATCAAATTCTAGTTTATCAGGGGAGGTAATTAATATCACGTGATACAAAATGGAGGTTCTTTCGATATCAATAAAAAAGGCAAATCTGCCAAACTTCGCCATTGTTCGGATAAAAAAGACAGCATGTTCATCTGAATCAGTTTTAATACATTTGAATAGATATACATGTATGGCGGATGTAGGTACATGCGGGATATTTTTTTTACGACTTGCTTGTCGATGTGCGGGCGGGCGTTACATATTTATTTTTTTTCATCAAGACTAATAAATAGACTGCACGCGCAACCAATTTTGCGTGCGGGCGGTGCCCGAGAAACAAGTTATTTTATTTGTGTTGCCTTAGGCCTGAAATGTTACCTAAATTATTAATTAGACATTAATTAACTTATCCAGACCATAATCAACTCTCGATGGCATCGCTAGCCTGCGATGTTTATTGGATTACCTTTCGATTTGCTGTTCGACTTCCATTCATAATTAAATAAAAAAAATGGATAATCGAAGCTAGCCCCAATATTCAATCGCTAAAATCTTGATTCATAGTGGATCAATTTGACTGAAATTTTCAGCAAATTGCCTTTACATTATCTAGTTTTTATACGCCCACATTGAAATGAGGTCGTATATTGTCGTCGCCCCCGTCCGTCCGTCCGTCCGTCCGGCCTCCACAATTGCTTGTGGACGCTCTAGAGGCTAAAGTTAATATCCGATTGACTTTAAATTTATATACAGTGTTTAAGGCCATGAGACGAAGAAGCCTATTGATTTTCAGCGATTTTCTATAATTACTGCCAGAGTTATGGCCCTTGATCACTTCAAAATATCTTGTGGACGCTCTAGAGGCTAATTTATACACAGTGTTTAAGGTCATGAGGCGAAGAAGCCTATTGATTTTCAGCGACTTCCGATAATAACTGCCAGAGTTATGGCCCTTGATCACTTCAAAAAATCTTGTGGACGCTCTAGAGGCTAAAGTTATTATCCGATTGACTTTAAATTTATACACAGTGTTTAAGGTCATGAGATGAAGACGCCTATTGATTTTCAGCGATTTCCGATAATTACTGCCAGGGTTATGCCCCTTGATCACTTCAAAAAATCTTGTGGACGCTCTAGAGGGTAAAGTTAATATCCGATTGACTTTAAATTTATACACAGTGTTTAAGGTCATGAGACGAGGAAGTCTAATCATTTTCAGCGATTTTCGATAATTACTTCCAGAGTTATGGCCCTTGATCACTTTGAAAAATCTTGTGGACGCTCTAAAGGTTAAAGTTAATATCCGATCGACTTTAAATTTATACACAGTGTTTAAGGTCATGAGACGAAGAAGCCTATTGATTTTCAACAATTTTCGATAGTTACTGCCAGAGTTATGGCCCTTGATCACTTCAAAAAATTATGTGGAAGCTCTAGAGGTCAAAGTTAATATCCGATTGACTTTAAATTTATACACAGTGTTTAAGGTCATGAGACAAAGAAGCCTGTTGATTTTCAGCGATTTCCGATAATTACAGCTATAGTTATGGCCCTTGATCACATCGAAAAATCTTGTGGACGCTCTAGAGGGTAAAGTTAATATCCGATTGACTTTAAATTTATACACAGTGTTTAAGGTCATGAGACGAAGAATCCTATTTATTTTCAGCGATTTCCGATAATTTTTGCCAGAGTTATGGCCCTTGATCACCTTGAAAAATCTTGTGGAAGCTCTAGAGGCTAAAGTTAATATCCGATTGACTTTAAATTTATACACAGTGTTTAAGGTCTTGAGACGAACAAGTATATTGATTTTCAATGAATCGTTATGACTTGAACAGCTAAACCCATGATGTTAAAAGTTGGTCCAGTTTTAGTTTGGTCTGCAAATGAATTAAATTGATAAAAGTGTTTCTCCTTTACATTATATTATATAGATGAAGAAAAGATGGCCCAGTATGCGCAAGAGGAGAGAAATATTCGCGAGGAAAATCTCCGCCTTCAGAGACGACTTCAGTTAGAGATGGAAAGGAGAGAAAATTTATGTCGTCATTTATCCGAGAGTGAATCCAGTTTAGAAATGGATGATGAAAGGTAGGCAAAGAAAATCAATATAATCTAATAAGAAGCGAACTGCAGGGTCGTAAAAAAAATTTTGAATCCACTAGCTCAGGACTATTAGTCCACTGTCACAAACTAGACCGGCAATAGTTTCCACTAGTCCATAGTTCAACAAGGTACATGATTTAATCTTCAATATTTAGGCATATGTTTTGTTGCCTGCTAACCTATCTTTTTTTTTAATAAAGATCGTAGACTTGATTGCCTAATAATTAAGGATGTATACGGCTACTCGGTTAACCGAACACGAATCGGTTGCACTGGTGAAACGGTTCAAAAAGTTACAAACCGATATTCATTTTCATAATACAATCTAATCAGAAGTGAACTATTATTATTATTATTATTTTGGTGTATTTCACAGTTCGGTTGCACTGGTGAAACGGTTCAAAAAGTTACAAACCGATATTCGTTTTCATAATATAATCTAATACGAAGTGAATTATTATTATTATTATTATTTTGATGTATTTCATAAAGTGCTCAGATGCACTTTACAATTCAATAAAATTATAAAATTTAGATAGACAATATGATAAAAACTAATTGGAATAATAAAAACAATAAATTGGTACACATTAAAAGTATCACAATAATAATAGAGTAAAAGAACGAGAGAAGGATAGAGAGAATTGGGGTTTAACGTCCACTCGACACAAAATAGGTCATTTCGGGACCAACACATGGTTCAATAATTCGCTTGCGTGTAGGGTCTTTAGCAGTGGGAGGAAACCGAAGGACCCGGAGGAAACCCATGAGGTTGGACAGGCGACCCTACCCTTGTCACGTACAACCGGGGAATCCGAAACCCCGCCAGTTGACTCAGCGTAAAAGAAATAACAAGCCAACAGTGAGGCTGATGTCCCCCGCCGAAATTGCAAAATAAATAGATGACACATATTAATTAATCGCACATTTATTTTTTTCACTAAGTTTCATCACTCTCTATCAGATAGAATCAAGATTATCTTGTCCCAAACCATCGACAAATGAAATCGATTAGCTCTGCTTAGCTTCAGCTCGAAATGTTAATTATTGAACTCAGTCAAGACATTCACCTAATGAACATCTACATATACATCAAGTTTAAACATTCACCTAATAGACACCTATGCCAAGTTTGAACATTCTACCTCAATTAGAAGGAGAGTTATTGTGTTCCAAAGTTTCTACCAATCAAATTGCTTATCACTCTGCTTACCCTCAGCAAAAAATGTTCATTATCGAACTTAGTTAAGGTATTCATATAATAAATCTATACACCAAGTTTCATCAATCTCACTTAATTAGAACTAAAGTTATCGTGTCCCAAAGCATCAACCAATCAAATTGCTTATCTCTGCTTACCCTAAGCGGAAAATGCTCATCTTCAAACTCCATCAAGGCATTGACCTAATCAACACATACACCAAGTTTGAACATTCTAGCTCAATTAGGAAGAGAGTTATCGTGCCCCAAAGTATCAACCAATCAAATTGCTTATCTCTGCTTACCCTAAGCGGAAAATGCTCATCTTCGAACTCCATCAAGGCATTGACCTAATAAACACATACACCAAGTTTGAACATTCTAGCTCAATTAAAAGTTATCGTGTCCCAAAGCATCAACCAATCAAATTGCTTATCTCTGCTTACCCTAAGCGGAAAATGCTCATCTTCGAACTCCATCAAGGCATTGACCTAATCAACACATACACCAAGTTTGAACATTCTAGCCCAATTAGGAAGAGAGTTATCGTGTCCCAAAGCATCAACCAATCAAATTGCTTATCTCTGCTTACCCTAAGCGGAAAATGCTCATCTTCGAACTCCATCAAGGCATTGACCTAGTAAACACATACACCAAGTTTGAACATTCTAGCTCAATTAGGAAGAGAGTTATTGTGTCCCAAAAAGTGTGACGGACAGACAGACGGACGGACAGACGGACGGACAGACAGACAGACAGACAGACAGACGGACGAACCCATTTTAATAGTCCCCTGCTTTCTTCGAAAGGCGGGGGACAAAAATTAAGTTATAAAGTCAGTAGTAAAGTTCAATAACATGCTTTAGTGAATACAAAAGTTTTTAGAGTGGTAACAAAACTGGACTGAAGACCTTGTGGTTTTTGAAGTCCATTTCGTATTGGTCAGGGGTAGTGTCTTAAGGACTGAAGGGGTTGGATGGTCGAACGGTTAGCATGTGCGCGCTGTGTCATAACGTCTGTCATTGTGTCAACTGGTGTGTTTTCTATTCGCCGTGGTTTCGACTCCCCGGTTGTACGTGACAAGGAAGTAGGGTCGCCTGTCCAACCTCGTCAGTTTTGTCCGGGTTCTCTGGTTTCCTCCCACTGCTAAAGATCCCTACGCGCAAGCGAATTATTGACATAAAATTGAACCATGTGTTAGTTCTGAAATGACCTAGTTTGTGTGGAATGGAGGCTAAACCCCATTTCTCTCTCTGTCTCTCTCTCTCTCCATTCAAGTATCCTGAATAAAAGTATTGTTTATTAAAAAAACTATTTTAGGTTTACAATTTATGTGGTTTATATTATTTTTCAGACATTTTAATGAAATGACCAAACAGCAAGATTTGAATCACCCTGTCCGTCCACGTACTGTATCAAGTCCGATACCTTACGCTTCACCAAACACGTCACGCCCCTTATCACCAGGTAATATTACAACTCAATCTGAACATTTTCATTACGTAGGAGCCCTGACATGCTTTGCCCCTTTATTAATTAACCCTTTTGTTAAAGATACATTATGGGGGATTAGATAAAGAGCTGGCAGTTCTCACTATAAGAGTCAAAAACTAGATACTGTAAAGGAATTTGCTGAAAATTTCAGTCAAATTGATCCACGATGAAACAAGATGTTAGCGATGGAATTTTCTGCCTTGCCTCGATCATCATTACTGAAGTCGGTAGGATAAAAAACATAGTCTGGATTATCCAATTCATGATTTAATTATAAATGGAAGTCGAACAGCAAATTGGAACTTAATCCAATAAACATCACAGCCTAGCGATGCCATCGAGGGTTGATTATGGTCTGGATAAGTTAATTAATGTCTAATTAATAATTTCTATAACATCTGAAGCCTAAATAAAGACTTGCAATAGGCAGATTTAGCTCTTGCATAATGTATGTTTAATATATATCGTAAACTTAGCCATTCATGTAAGGCGTGTAAATATAGTGTTTAAATAAAACTGATGTCATGCGACAGTATGAAGTCATTAACTTGTCTATCCTGGGTGACATCATTTCACTGAAGAAACAGGAATTGATAAGAGAGGGTCAATTACTTATGTTACTCTGGTTTTCAATCTGATTAAAATACAGATCCTATTTCGTTGCATTTTTTATGGTTCAAAATTTCGTTTTATTTATCTTTACTACACTAGGATCTGGAAAAGTTGTTATATAACGTGCGTTCTGGATGATGTGAGGGGTCAGCCAATGAAACAATCTGTTACAGCGAATTCTTGGCGTGCGGCACACAGTAGAAACATCAACGCTGCTTAGTTAATTAAAAGTCTGAACATCATAGTTCAAAAGCCACTTGTATGACTACTGACGCGACCTCCCACTACAACTGGTCAGATATTTATGTAGTGTAGGCCATCGAAAGTATAAAAAAAAAAACCGAAACGAAATATATTTAATAAGATTGGCTGGTTTTCCTTCCCCATTGCAATTGACCAGGCCTCATGGTAACATAATTGAGCACACCTCTATAATTGACCAGGCCTCTATGGTAACATAATAGCGGCAGGAAATTAATGCAGTCAACCATGACTTTAATAAGACCAATTTAAAAAATATTTGCCAGATCTTGATTAAATAATAAGAGAATGAAATCCAGTATTTCTAAAGCAGCCATTTTGACAAGGGAAGTAACTCTATTTAAGATCACAGTCACCTTAGTTTCTGCATGAAATAATCTGAGAAATGAAAAATTTTGTTTGCTTTGACAAAATCATTTGGAATTCTTTCTTCCTTTTTGTTTACAGGAATGTCGTCAATGATGGCCAAGAGTCCTCCCAGTCCAATGAGGCGGAACATACCGGCCCAGATGTTTCACATTCCAGGTCACGGTCAATCGACCCCACTAAACCAATGTCATGGTCAAACTTCTCACAATACCACTATGGCGGGCCATGGTCCATCAAACTTTCTACCAGGGACTTCACCGCCTGTCTTTGCAAGTTCGGTTAACCCCAACATCCATGTAAGTAGCCAAGGTGGGAACTTGAGCCCGACTTAAGTCACATCAATGACCCAACGGGACTCAATTTGAAATATTTATTGACACAAGAGGGGACTCGGCTGTAAAAAAGAATGGAGGGGGCCCTTGAAGTGAAATATGGGAATTTTTGCCCAGACAACGGCAATTAATCAGTCAGCTTTAAAGTAGATACAAGTTCAAATTACATGATTTGGGGGTGATTTTAAATAATTTTTACGAATTTTTAAACAAAGATTTGATATTAGACGAATGTGAAAGAAATTAGTGCTCGATACACAAAATTAAATGATACCTGAGTTATAGTGTTTACTGCTGCTTGGAAAATTTAGAGTTGGAGAGCTGTACACGCTGAGCTTTCTACAGGTAAATTAAATTAGTACTGAAGGTTGGATGGCTGAATGGTTAGCATGTGCGTGCTGTATCATATGGTCTGTCTTTGAGTCAACTGGCGTGGTTTCGAATCCCTGGTTGAACTTGACGAGGAGTAGGGTCGCCTGTCTAACCTTGTGGGTTTTCTCTGGTCCTCCGGTTTCCTTACACTGCTGAAGACCCCTATGTGCAAGTGAATTATTGAAATAAAATTTTGAACCATATGTTAGTCCCGAAATGACCTAGTATGTGTCAAGTGGGTGTTAAACTCTCTCTCTCTCTCACACTCAAATTTTAACATCATATTGATTATTTTAATTTATTTTTATTTTTATTTATTTTTTTTAGAAACCAAGGGTTAGTCCTGAGAAATTTGTGAAACCAAGTGGATTCCCAAGTGACAAAACTGAGAAGACATGACAGTTATAAATTGTGTTTTTATTCAATGGCATTAATGCGTGTGATTCAGAAATATATATATAAATATATATATAAAAATATACTTTGAAACAATACTTACACAATGTTTATTTGTGGTAACATTGGCATTTAGTCCTAATGTGATGTCTTAACATTTCTGTGCTTTCTGTACCACTTGCTGATTGGACAGTTCGTTATCTAGGTAACCATGGCTTTCAAGACAAACATGGAAGCTGTAACTTTTGTTTATTTTTTATTTTTTTCTCGTGTTCGTCCATTAGTGCAGACAGGGGAGGATAACCTGTGTACGACAGAACTTTGTTATGAAAGAGAAAATTGGTTTTGTTTTTTGGAGTGAAGAATGGTCAAGTTTGGATTAAGAAAAACCCAAATATCTTTTGACGCCAACTTTTCTCTCGTGTTTCTTTTTTTCTTGTGTTCTATGATAATTAATAACTTCATGTGCTATTTAAGGCTTTTAATATTCTATTCTATTTATATATTAACTGTTACCGATTTAATTCTGTATCTACAGTTGTAGGGAAAAACAACAAGCAAGCCTGGAAAAAAACGATTCAAATTGTCTCAGACAAAATGTCAGACACAATTGTACCTGGCTGTCTTAAATGGGTGCATGGATAGTATTCAAAATAACCAAAAATAAGTCCCACGGAAGATCTGTGCCTAAAGCAGTTGTTGTCAGTATTATCGATTTATTAACCCATAACTGGTCAAAATCATTTTGACGTCAAATGGTCAGGCTAAATAAAGGCTAAGTTGAAATATTTTATATGCTTATTTCAAACGTCTACTGCCGGATAATTATAAGTGATAGACTCTTGACACCAATAAAAAAAGTTGACGGGAATAAGTTGATCTATAATTTGCACTATTTTTTTCACCTCATTTCAAAATGCAAATTCAGTTAATTTGCATAATTAACGAATTGTTTTGGTTTTTTTCCCGGTATTTTACTTCAAAAGGTGTCGAAAACATGATTTTGATCACAAAAATTATTGAAAGCGGCACCCTCACACGTTCTCTCATTTCCTAAATCATTTTCATCAGAAATATCGCCTTCAGAATCGGTTTCACCGATATAATCCGAGTCGGAATCATTCATAAGAATTTCAACCACTTTGCCAGTCTTTAACCTTTTTGACATCGTTAAAAAATTATGTATTTTGTCAAAAAATGTTGAACAAAGACATGTTTTTCTCAATGTCATTGAAAAGACAAGTTTCTGTCTGACACGCATGCATGGTAATATCAATTAAATACGAAACTAAATGCTACTTATAAAAAAGGTTCTTGCTGTGGTCAACTTTAGTCGACCATGACCACTTAGCTGTATATGGTTGTGGTGATTATTGTCGACAATGAACGGTTAAGGGTTAAAGGTTTGATGCATCATTTTAAGCAATATTCTCAATCTGATTAAAACAAAGATCCTTTTTTGTTTCGTTTTATTTTATAGTTCAAAATTTCGTTTTACTTGTCTTTACTACACTAGGATCTGGAAGAATTGTTGTATAACCCTTGTTCTTGGCGTGCGATGCACACAATTGTAGGTATCCTACTAGAAACATTAACGCTGGTTGATTAATCAGATATCTGACGTCAGTAAGGTCAAAAGCCGCTTGTATGACCCTTGACACGACCTCCCACTACAACTGGTCAGATCTTCATGTAGTAGATGTTATTGAAAGTAAAACAAAACGAAACGAAATATAGATCTGTATTTTAATCAGATTGCAATATTGTAAAAGATAAATTTCTAATAACAGTATCAGGCCAAAAATGGATCAATTCCGTTCGATATTTACAAAGTTGTGTTGAATTGAAATTTCATCGATCTATTTTGTTTGCTACATGTATGTAATAAAGTCCTCCACCATTTTCTTTTTGGCGAACAGAAATGATAGGCCCTTTTTTTTTTTTTTAAACTGCGATTGAATTCAAGTCATTATCTAGCATGAATATTTTGATTATTATTCTTAATTAAATATTAAATAATGAATCTTAGTACATATTAGCATGGATTAAGCCGTGTCAATTTTGATATTTTAGCTTCAAATGTTCAACAATCAGTCGAATTACACATTAGCCTGGATTAAGCAGTAAGAAATTTAAGCATTGAGAAATTTGATATTTTCGCAAAAGATACAAATGATGCATCATGCTAAACATAATACAATTACAATAATGTGTTTCGATCAGTTATCTTCCCTTTTCTCTGTGTTAGTCCCGAAATGACCTAGTTTGTGTCAAGTGGAGGTTACCCACCCCCACCCTCTCTCTCTCTTCTCTATGATCCAATCCATTAAATCATCGCCCATTGGGGTAATTTAGAACTTGTCAGAAGTTGCAGCAGCTATTTTGATTGATTTGCCACGAAACCTAGTCAGTCGGACGGGGCAATAATTTCAATAAATTAAAATATATCACAAAAAATAAACTTTATTGACAGTATTTTTTGGCCATTTAAAATTCCACAATATATTATTGTATTTTATTGAAATACAATGATTTAAAGCTACATGTTTACTATCTATTGGAGAGGTTTTCCAGACCTTTGTTTGACGTTCTAACTAATGATGTCAACTGGCAGACTATCACAATTGAAGTAACGACCACTCTCAAGATTAGTCGCATTATTCTGTTACGTCTTTTTTGTAAATCATTTTTTTTTTTTTTTTTTCATTTTGAGAATAGCCAGTACCATAACATTCCCGGGACTGTACAGCGCAGTGGACGCTTATGACTAGCCCCTGGATCCATTCACTTACTTTGATATGTAGTTTGTTTGTTATTTCTACGTATTGTGTCTTGTCCGTGGATTTGTTTTGTGTAATTGAGTGTGGTGCAGTCCCCCTGCACTTACTATTTGAGTCTTTTTCGTGAAGTACTGTATATTGCAAGGATGACATACATATTGTGGATTTTTATATCGTTATCACAATAATGAAATTTTCAAGTATCGTCCAGCACTAGAACCTGGTAGACCAATGAAAATAATCCTCTCATAATTTCTGTCAGATGTGGCGATGGTTAAATTAATCAATTGATAATGCTCAATACTGTTAAATGACAGGCATCGGAGCTTGGTGGCGGACGCATGATCTTTGGCTAGTAGGGGCCCTGAGTGGATTCGGGTGGGCCCAGGGTTCTCCTCCACAGAAATTTAGACAAATCTTGATCAGATCCAGATATAATATAATTCAATTTCAAGCCCTGGATCACCCCAATCAACAATTAAAACCTGAAATTCAAACAGAATCATAGTGAATTTATTTTGCCGATATCCCCTACAGCCAGGGCTGTATAAATTGCGCCTGGCTTTGTCCGTGACAGGTCGTTTTTTTCCAAGCTTGTTTAAAAGTTATATATACAAGTCTGAAGAGCTCTCTTCTAACATAATGATGTACCATGTATTACAGTTATTGAGAATAAAATAGAAGAATTCTTCAAAACACCAAAGAAAAAATGTTTTTTAAACACTCTTTCATTTGTGGCATGTGCATCTTCAGTAGAAGGCTTGATCTCGCTTTAACTACGTACATCTTATCAAGGCCTTCACATAATACCCTGCATTAATTTCGATTGAGTACAAGCCCAGTTTGTGATCCTTTCAGATTCCTCGGTCGTCACGAATACCAAGTATCGCACTTTCTAGCTAAAATGTCTACCTGTGATAATCAAGTTGCAAAGTTTGAGGTTCGTTCAATGTAAAGGTTTTCGTGGAGGTTGCAATGTAACAACCCCTGATTGGACGCTACTGTTCACGTGTCTGTAGATAACGTAGCTATTAAGTTCGGGAATTGTGAAGTAATCTAGCAACGTCAAGATGTTGTAAAACTCCAGTTGTTGCTTCAGGAACATGTGGCATGTGAGGCACGCGTTGCAACCCAATTGTGTCCATTTCTAGGTGTCAAAGAATAGGGATTTAGCTCCTTTAAAGATACATTATGGGAGATTCGATAACGAGTTGGCTGTTCTCTCTATAATAGTTAACAGGTCACAATATCAATTAAAGATATATTATGGGAGATTCGATAACGAGTTGGCTGTTCTCTCTATAATAGTTAACAGCTCACAATATCAATTAAAGATATATTATGGGAGATTCGATAACGAGTTGGCTGTTCTCTCTATAATAGTTAAAAACTAGATAATGTAAAGGCAATTTCATTCAAATTGATCCACTATGAACCGAGAACTAAGCGATTGAAATTTCAATAAACAGCATAGTCTTGATTATCCATTAAGTTGTTAAATCGTGAAGGAAAGTTATGCAGTAAATTGGCTCATAATCCACTAAGGATCACAGGCTAGCAATGCCATCTAGAGTTGATTATGGCCTGGATAGGTTAATTAATGTCTAATTAATAATTTAGATAACATTTCAGGCCTAAAGAAAGACCTGCAATAGACAGATTTAGCTCTTGCATAATGTATGTTTAAATGAATGAGGACAATCTAATATAAACAGCTTTAATCCTGAGAGACAATCCTATTGTGAATGGATCCCTACACCCAGGGCTGGATTATATAGCTGGCTGGGGCCCTTGCATCAAGAGTATAAGTGGGTCATATGTCCCCAAATTGTTCAAATCTATCGTAACATCATTATATTTATTTATGGTACAGACATTTCGGGGACCTGGTGGCGGTCCAGTCAGTCCACCACCCACCCTCTTCCTCCGGTAACATCATATATTTATTTATGGTACAAACATTTCAGGGACCTGGTGGCAGCCCAGTCAGTCCACCCCCACCCTCTTCCTCCGGTAACATCATATATTTATTTATGGTACAGACATTTTGGGGCCCTGGTGGCATCCCAGTCAGTCCACCACCCACCCTCTTCCTCCGGACATCCCCCCCCACCCCCAGGATCGGATTTACCAATAGCCATATAGTAGGTCATTGACCTAGGGCTCCTGATTTTTGGGGATCCCACTGAAGATAAGTGATTTTGCGATTTGATGTAATTGCTTCGGAAATCGGTGTCGATAAATTCGTTGATTAGGGTAACCAATTTGAATTAGATTGACGTTAAAGATGAAAATTTGATTGAATGCAAATCACTTTGGCTAATCAGTGGTCGATAAAAACGCCGAATATATATTGAACACAAGGGCTCCCTATAAAACACTTCTAAACATAATTAGTTTCCCACTGATGAGTTTGCACCATGGACACACAAGTACCAGGAGGTAAATATGTGGTCCTGACCACCTCCCAAGTTGCCATTACTGTTTATCAGAATAAGGGCGGTTGGGAGAGAGAGAGAGAAATGGGGTTTAACGTCCACTCGACACAAACCAGGTTATTTCGGGACCAACACATGGTTCAATTTTATTTCAATAATTCGCTTGCGCGTAGGGGTCTTTAGCAGTGGGAGGAAACCAGAGGACCCGGAGAAAACCCACGAGGTTGGACAGGCGACAGGGCGGTTGGGTGGCCGAATGGTCAATGCGTGTGAATTTGATCGGTCTGTCATTGAGTCAAGTGGCATGGTTTCAATTCCCCGCTTGTATGTGACAAGGAATAGGGTTTCCTGTCCAACCTCTTGACTTCTCTGGTCTCGGTCCTCCAGGTTTCCTCCCACTGCTAAAGAAATGGAGTAGGGTCCAACCTCATGGGTTTTATCCGGGCCCTCCAGTTTCCTTCCACTGCTAAACACCCATACAAACTTGCAAATTATTGAAATAAAATTGAACCATATGTTAGTCCCGAAATGACCTAGTTTGTGTCGACTGGACGTTAAACTAACTTAAAGGACCTAAGTCCGTAACTCAAAATCCTCCAAAATCTTTGACATCGAATACACGAATTATTGGTCAATTTAAATCAACATTGATGATGTAAACTTACCGGGAAAAGATGTGCTTCTGATATCCGATATTTAAGATAAAATAATTTTTTTAACATTGGTACACGAATCGTGTACCATAATGCGCTTCAGCCCCAGTTGTATTGAGAGACTTGAGGGACGAGGCTAAACACATTGCACCAAATCAAATGGAGTTATGTAGACTAGAATAACTAGACGCTAGAAATTTGCACTCGATTGAGATTGCTGACTTATTTCGCCGAACATAACTGATTTGAAATTGGAGTAAAAACGGAAACCATTAAATGTAAATCAATTTATATACATTCATATTACAGTATTATATGCGTTGCGACCCACTTTTGTGAATTTCTAGGTCCCAAATGTTAATGATTTAGCTCCTTTAAACCCCATGACTCTCTCTTTATCAGAATATGAAATATTGACGCCATATGGGTATTATATAGATAATTTGCTGATGTGTCTACAATGCGGTGAACGATAACTCGTCTTGTCAAAATTATACAAATGACTACAAAACTTGCTCAAAGGAAGGCCTTGGTTGGAACGGTCCACTACTGTGGCTGAAGTAAAAGTAACGGAAGACATCAGGAACCATTTCTATAATTCTACTTTTGAATATATTAAGATATTTATCGTGTTTTGTGTGTGTGTATATCGGTGGGTTGGGGTGGATTGAAATCTGTCCAAAATCTAGGCCGCGACTATCACTATATAATTTGTCCAGGATGAAGGACGAAAAAAACGTGATCTTGTATATATAACGCCATTAACGGTTCATGTCTCACGTGTCAAATGCGAAACTGTCAACGTGCAGTCTTGCTATCATCAGGCCTTTCTAATCTTTTCAAGTGGAGAGTTCTACAAACAACACTTTTTGACTGACGTCCGTATATTTTAATGTTTAAAGTCTTCGCTTGTAGCTGCAGCGTACTGTTCCAATACTGTTCAGAGTACCAGTTTCAAAGGTGTGGAATTTTCTTAAGTAGATCTGGCTTCTTTTAAAATATATATTGAAAATCGTTTTGTATTTTTTACCGACAGAAATCTCTCACCCGTATCCCCATTTCCACCACCAATCAATATGTAAACATTTGCATGCTATGTTTTTGTTTTTAATTTTAATTATTAGACTGTCATAAATGATGTTGTTGATGCTTTTTATTTTCTTTGTAAAATGTTATGTGGATATTTGTATGCTGCCACTTATGGGGTGTTTAGATACAATAAATCTATCTATCTATTGACTATTGGTATTCCTAGTGTCAATAACTTATATATTTATCACGAAAATAATTGTTACCTTTAATAGTAAATATAAATATAATAGAACAAAAAAAAACAAAAAAAACCTATTACCGTAAACATACTAAAATATCGCACACTAGGCAGAGTATACGCAGAAAAGGGTACGTTCTCTTTGCATCAAAACTTTACGTACTGGTGTGGTATTCAAACCAGCTTTTGTGGCAAAATGTCTTTTATTTATTTCACAAAATCAAGGGATGAATAAGCTAAAAGACAGAAAAATTCCAGGAACCTCCCAACCCATGTTGCATTTTCGATATATAAATACTGTAAACATACTGTACTAAAAATGTGGGGGAATCCAAGTTGGGGTAGGCTCACTGCGCACACAATAGCTTCAAAACTAGCTTTGGTGGCTCGAATATCTTTATTTGACCAAATCAATAGATGCATAAGGTATGAACATGCCAAATCTCATTAACTTTCTATGCTGGCTTATCAAGTTATATCATCTCAACTTCTAGCTCCTGACTTTCGAGGCCAGGTTCGTGGGTTCAATAAACAAAGGGTAGGCCTACATCCACGCTACATCACGCTTATGTTGCATTTCTAGATATATATATTACCGTAAAAATACTAAAAATATGGAAGGTTAGAGTCAGTCTCTCTATCTATTCCTCGCAATCTCTCATTTATATTAAAACAGTCCTGTGACTAGTGAGGGGGGGGGGGCAAGGGGGGCAGCTGCCAAGCCTGGACGTCGAACCGCACCCTTTCCATTGGACACAATACAAAGCCAACGACCAATGTGACCATATCAGTATGGGCTACCCCCTGCCCCCAGCTAGCTATGGGCCTGTAACACCCCCCCCCCCAACTAGCTATGGGCCTATAAAATAATATAAAATAATATCTAGGAAAGGCTGAAAGTTGGTGCTGGGTTGGAGATTAATGTTGGCAGTTATACCATTTATTTTAATGTCCGTGCATAAATTTAAAAGTGCATAATTAATGGATTACATCATACATGTATATATGTATATCAATCATCAGTTGGTCTGACAGGTATGAATATAGGGTGTGTTGAGAGAGTTTAGTCTGACATACATGAAAAGAGAAATGAAAAGAAATGGAATGTTGTTTAACATCCTACTGTTCTGCTCCTATACTGGGCTAATGAAGACGGGCATATGCCATACAGTGTGCTATAAGGGAAATTTTGTCCGGGCAGCAGCACTATATAGCCTACTCTTATATCGAATTCCAACTGCCAGGGGATCTTTTACGTGCATTCCAATATATACACGGGACCTCGGTTTTTCGTATCATTCGAAGGACTAGACAGCTGTCCTTGTCAGGCCTTTGTTCTGCACCATTGACAAGGGGGAACAAAACATAAGCTAGATCATTTAGGGAGACAGGGAGATTTAGGTAGAATGTTCAAACTTCAAAGAAGATGCCTGGAAATACGAATTTATTTAATAACATGAGAGAGAAATTGGGTTTCACGTCCACTCGACACAAACTAGGTCATTTTGGGACTAACATATGGTTCTAATTTATTTCAATTAATCGCTTGCGCTTAGGGGTCTTTAGCAGTGGGAGGAAACCGGAGGACCCACAGAGAGAGAGAAATGGGACTTATGGTCCACACAACACAAACTAGGGCATTTCAGGACTAACATATGGTTCTAGTTTATTTCATTTGTTCGCTTGCACATAGGGGTCTTTAGCAGTTGGAGGAAACTGGAGGAACCAGAGAAATCCCACTACTTGTCACGTACAACCGAGGAATTGAAACCATGCCAGTTGACTCAATGATAGACCTTATGATACAGCGTGCGCACGCTAACCATTCAGCCATCCAACCCCCCTTATGGAGAGAGATCGAGTTATAGTTTAATATCCATCAGATACAAAACAGACCTACACCAATATAACATACACAAATATTGTCATAGAGTCCCCCAGGTGTCCTGTCGAGCTAATTATTGAAATAGAATTGAACCATATGTTAGTCCCTAAATGACCTAGCTTGTAATGTTGTTATGAGTCTCTCTCTCTCTCTCTCTCTCTGTCTCTGGGAGGGGTGTGTGTGATTGGATAGCCAAGTGGTTAGAGCATGCGTGTTGTATCATAAGGTTTGTCATTGAGTCAATTCGTGTGGTTTCAATCCCTCAGTTGTACGTGACAAACAAGGAGTAGGTTGTCACAAGGAGTAGGGTTGTCACAAGGAGTAGGTTGTCACAAGGAGTAGGGTTGTCTGTCCAACGTCTGTTTTCTCCAGGTCCTCCAGTTTCCTCCCACTCACTTCTAAAAGACACACATGGTAGTCTTGGACCATAAACCCCATCTCTCTCTCTCTCTCTCTCTCTCTCTTTCCTCCCACTCACTGCTAAAAGACACACAAGCGAATTATTGAAATAAAATTGAACCATATGGTAGTCTTGGACCATAAACCCCATCTCTCTCTCCTCTCTCTCTCTCTCTCTCTCTCTCTCTCTCTGATGAAGGTAATATTATTTATAAATCTCCCTCTCTCTGTGATGAAGGTAATATTATTATAAATCTCACTCTCTCTGTGATGAAAGTAACATTATTCAACTCTAAATATTGTGTTTCATGTTTTACAGATTGTATATAATGTCTATGAATCCAATATGACTGCTATAAAGGTGTACCATGAATGACAGAAGAAGAAAGTAGCCATAGACATGTGATCGATATATAAAAATACAGGTTGGAGAGTGGCTGCTCAGCTTAATAAAGAACAAACAGTACATCCACAATGCTACTCGTCTTAAAATGAATTAACCTTTACATGTAGTCATGTGTGAATTAGTGTGTAGCTAGGGAATTTTATCTTTGGATTACTTTCCAAGGATCCTTGTTCCTACTGTATCACTGAGACCCTACGGAGATCGCGGCTGATCCACAGTGTTCCAGGAATTCTTCCGACCTCATCTTTTACTTTTCGTTAATTCATCGCAGGCTTGGAATTGTGTTAATTATTTAGTGAACACACCGAAACTTCACATATATTTTACACCCAGAGTTTATCCCAGTAACTATGAAAAATAAATTTATTTTTATAGCAGCTATATATAATTACAGTATATAAAAGATGCTGTGAATTGATCTATTCAACTTGTGATAGCCAATCAATAAATAGTTTACAATTATCATCAATTAACCTGCTTCTGAAATAATTGTCATGTTTATAATGGACTGTGATAAACACATATAGTTGTTTATTCCTGCTATTCATAGATTTATTGTGTAAAACATTTTTAATTTGGATCAAAAAGGTTTTTTTTACATACAGAGCATCTTTGAGAGAAAGTGTTTCGATTGATGAATTTCAATATTTTGCTATATCTTCATATATGAGGCATTTCTCAGTTTGGAACAAGAAGTTTTGAACATATAAGAAAAAACTTTTGGATGAAAAAAAATTCAAATTTTGTGTAGAGACATTTCCATGTTTGGATTTGCAGAATTTGAATGACCATCAGTTTACCATATTTGGAGATCAATTGACCAGATATTTAGATTAGTGTAATTTGTATCAAAGCAAGAAATTGAATTATCTGGTGTGATATTCTCTTCTCTTATTTTTTGTATACAAATGTCATAAAACGAGTAGCTTTTGTTTAAAAATTATTTTCACTTGAGATATTGATTTTCTTGTAGACGTTTTAAACAGTGAAGATCTGGTTATAGATGTAATAACAGTTTAATCAGTGGATTCCTCTCATCCTAAGTGGACGATTTTTAAACGCCTTTGTAGAATTTTTGGATTAGCCTAATTAAAAGACGTGTTTGCGTTAAGATTAAATCTGTGCTGGCATTTATTTATATTCAGTCAACAACCGAGATATTTTCTTTTGTGCTATCAACATAAATAACTGTTGCATTTTTTGCCAACATTTGTTTGCGTTATAGTTTTGTAGACATTAAATAATAGCTTTGTAGACAATAACGGGCAAAGTCGTGCAAGCTCTTTATTGCTGCTTTCGTTGAAGAAATTTTGTCCTTAATGCAGTTTACCTTTTAATCCTGAAAAACTAGTGACAATTAAATTTGTGACATTTCCTCAAAAGTTCAAGAACCATTCAAGGTTGCTGAACACAACATAAAACTTATATTATGCCGGAAAAACCAGTTACTTTAACATATCGCCAAACTTTACAAATGAGGAGAAATTATATAGGGTAAGTTTCTTCATATTTTTTAAATTTCACTTTGTTTAGACATAGAAGAGCTAAAACTGCAGGTCTTTCTTAGGTCTAAGATGTTATCTAAATTATTATCCAGACCATAATCAACTCTCGATGTCATCGCTAGCCTGCGATATTTATTTGATTAAGATCCAATTTGCTGCTCATTTTTCATTCATGATTTAATCATGTGGATAATCGAGATTATGTTTTTTATCGTACCGATGATCGAGGATAGGCCGAAATTCAATCGCTAAAATCTCAGTTCAGAGTGGACCAATTTGACTGAAATTTTCAGCAAGTTCCCTCTACATTATCTAGTGTTTAACTATTATAGTGAGAACTGCCAGCTCTTTATCTAATCTCCCATAATGTATCTTTAATATGGAGTTAACTTATTTCCAAACTTTGCAAATGAGAAGACATTATATAGGGTAAGTTTGTTAATTCTTAAAAAAATTACATGTACCGTACACTTCCCCTCTTTTTATTCAGTGTTTACTGTTAAACATAAAAAGGAATTACAAAGGGCAAACTTCTTACGCCTCCCCTTTTTTACCTGTAATAAAAGATCCCTTGACAGTTGGAATTCAATATAAGAGTAGGCCAGTCCTTCACGTTTAAGGGGAGCTTTTGCTCCTGTTCCTCTCGACGCACGTCGGCTTTCCTTCGAAGGAGTCATTAAAGACTCCTGCAAATTTGCTAAATCGCTCTCCTATTATTGAGATTAATAAACTACTTTCAGTTTTTGTTTACTTTTAAACTGCATATATTCAAGGTATCAAGAGCTTTTTATGGCTCCCGCACAATTTTATAAACATGAAGGACTGGTAGGCCGTAGTGCCACTCTGCGGGCAAAATTTCCCTCATAGCACACTGTATGGCGTATGCCCGTCTCCATTAGCCAAGTCTGAGCAGAACAGTAGCACGTTAAACCCAGAGACTATGGCTTACTCTTATATCAAATTCCAACTGCCAAGGGATCTTTTATGTATACACAGGACCTCAGTTGTTCATTAGGGATAAAGAATGTCTAGTTGCAATTCTTATTGTTTAGAAGATGAATATCAATGCCTGGAAATACAAATTTATCTAATAACAATAAATACATATCTGTACTATTTCATTTCTTGGTTTGAAAATAATGTCCCTTATATTAAAATATAAATCTATGAGAATTCCCTTCTTTGTTTTTCAGTCGGTCTTGTAAGTTGCATTTTGAAGTTGCCCCATTAAAGATAGTTCGGGCATCCCGACAATATCTGTATGATGACAGTGGTAACGAATTTCTCGACTGTATCAACAACGTGTCACATGGTAAGTATTTTGGCCCTCTGTACTCCGAGATTGGGGCTGGATGGCCGAATGGTTAGCGCATGTGCGTTGTATCATAAGGTCTGTCATTGAGTCAACTGTCATGGTTTCGATTCCCCAGTTGTATGTAACAAGGAGTAGGGTTACCTGTCCAACCTCGTGGGTTTTCTCCTGGTCTCCGGTTTCCTCCCACTGCTAAAGAACCCTACGCGCAATTAATTATTGAAATTAAATTGAACCATGTTAGTCCTGAAATGACCTAATTTGTGTTGAATGGTTGTAAAACTCTCTCTCTTTCTCTTTCTCTCCACAGCTGAAGACCCCTACACGCAAGCGAATTATTGAAATATAATTAAGCCATATGTTAGTCCCGAAATAACTTACTGTGTGTCAAATGGACTTTAAATCCCATTAAAACAAATAACAATATTTGTTAGAGTTTCCAGACCGAAGACGAATTCCCTAAGTCTGATAAGAAATCATCCATCATCGCTATTTTACTGTAATTTTTTATATTTGTTTCAGTTGGTCATTGTCACCCACATGTTGTCAGCGCGGGACAAACACAAATGGCCATGTTGACGACATGTGCTGGATTTTTAAATGACCAAATGGCCGAATATGCGAAGCGTCTGATTAGCACGCTTCCTGATAAACTCTGTGTCTGCTTCTTCGTAAATTCAGGGTAAGTCTGTCTATCTAGTATTCTCTTAGATTTATTTAAAGAGGGTTAAAAGTTGTATGTTGGCATGCCATTATTTTAAAGGTCACCGGAAAAGCTTCATAATTTTTTAAAATGATACCAGGAATTATGTCAGCATATCCTTTTCATAAGTATAACATGATTCCGATTATAATTGTTACCTGCCACAGGTAGATTTCAGTGTCAGGGATTTCCGTAAATAAAACCGTTGTGACATCATTTTCGGCCTTCTGCTCGTATTCTAGACTACGTTTCTATAAGAAGAAGAATTAAAATGACATCATAACTTGTTTTTTTGCGGAAAGTTATGGCTACTCACGGAGAACGACAGAAATCGTTAATGTTAGAATATACTTGTGGCAGGTAATATTGACATTTGGGACGGTGTTATACATATGGAAAGGATATGATGACATAATTGCTTGCATTATTTAAAACATTTATGGTGCCTTTCAGATGAGCTTTAAATATTGGACTCCTGACACTGTAACCCAGGTATCATTTAATCTTGTGTATCTAGCACTAATATTTTTCACATATGTTCAATATCAAATTTTTGTTTAAAAAATGTTAAAAATCACCATAAATCATCTAATTTGTACTTGTGTCCAGTTTAAAGCTGACCATTCAATTTTGATGATGAGTGTCCAATTTACAACTGTTTAATTTCTCAATCACTTTTGAAAAATAAACAACCCAATTGATTATTGATGTATAATGATTAATTTTTGAAGAGTGGTCAGGAAATTAAATACTTGTAAATTGGAGACTCATTATCAAAATTAATCAGTCAGCTTTAAACTGGACACAAGTACAAATCATAAATTATAAAGTGCTAATGTGATGTATGATATATCCATGTATGTTATATTTTTATTAAATATTTTATATATAAAACATCGAAAATTGTTATATTTTCATTAAATTATAAAGTGCTAATGTGATGTATGATATATCCATGTATGTTATATTTTTATTAAATATATATAAAACATCGAAAAATAAAAAAAAAATTACATAAAATATTTGGGGTTTTTTTTCCATCTAATTACCTATAACACCTAATCCTAATCCGCTTAATCCACTAATCCTAATTAGACCTTAATTGGATTAATCAAAAGTGGGCACAGTGAGGACACACCCACAAGTACAAATTAGATGATTTTGGGTGATTTTAAACGATTTTTACGAAATTTTAAACAAAGATCTGATATTAAGCAAATGTGAAAGAAATTAGTGCTAGATACACAAGATTAAATCAAAACTGGGTAACAGTGTGAGTAAATAAAGTTGTTTTATTCAAGGGTAACATGCCAATCAAGCTACAGTCTACAGTGTTAGTGAAATCAGAACGTCTCGACCAATAGTGAAGCCATTTGACTGAAATTTTCAGCTTTATTCCCTTTACATGATATATATTTTAACTATTATAGTGACATTTATTGGGTCTTTCCGTGAGGTGTATTTAAAACAGGTTATTAATATTCCGTCAGATATATTAAAAATAAGTTATTAGTGACAATTGTTGTCACTTTATCTAATGTTACATAATGCTGCTTTAATATTTCCTGAGATGTATTTAAAATGGGTTATTAATGTTCTGTGAGATGTATTTTAAGTGGATTATTAATATTTTAAGGGGATTTTAAGGGGCTTATTAAAATTTTGTGGGAGATATTTAAAGCGGAAATTGCAAATTTTCTCAGAAAGTCAAAACGTAATTATTTCTATGTCTTTTGCTCAATAGGTTGTCAACTCACAATTATACGATCATAGGTGTCATTCTCACACTTAAAACTCATTTACACAGGAAATAATAACACAATTACCTCCCTTGTTTTCTATTCTCCACCATGGAGAGGAAGAGGAAAATGATATTTTTGCCAATTTCTCAGCTGGCAATAGGGAATTATAGGATTAATAGGATTATTCTTTAACAAGGTATGACTGTTTATGGATACCATCTATTTTCAGGCTTTATTTTAATAAATTTTAAAAATATAACTTAAAAATTTGCAATTTCCGCTTTAAAGAAGGTTATCTTGCATTGATTCCTAAACAATGTTTCACCAACACCTAAAACAAGTAATTTTTATCCCCCGCCTTTCGAAGAAAGAAGGGGACTATTAAAATGGGTCCGTCCGTCCGTCACACTTTTTGGGACACAATAACTCTCTTTCTAATTGAATGAACTAGAATGTTCAAACTTGGTGTAGGTGTTTATTAGCTCAATGGATTTCGAAGATGAGCATTTTCTGCTTAGGGTAAGCAGAGATAAGCAATCTGATTGGTACGATAACTTTTGGTGTAGGTTTTTATTAGGTCAGTGCCTTGATGAAGTTCGAAGATGAGCATTTTCTGCTTAGTTTTGTTTTAATTTTATTTTTGATTATTTTTAGATCTGAAGCGAATGATTTAAGTTTACGTTTAGCAAGGTCATACACAAAAAGAGAGGATATGATTGTCCTAGAAAAGTAAGTAACTTTGAATTTTTCTTCAATCTGATTAAAACACAGATCCTATTTCGTTTAGTTTTTTATATTTTAAAATTTCGTTTTTCTACACTAGGATCTGGAAGAGTTGTTATATAACCCACGTTCTCGGTGATGTGATGGATTAGCTAATGATACAGTCTGTTACGACGAGGTTTTGGTGTGAGGTGCACGGAACTGTGGGTAACATACTAGAAACATCAACACTGATTGATTAATCAAATGTCTGATGTCATAGGGTCAAAAGCCACTCATATGACCTCTGACGAGACCTTCCACTACAACTGGTCAGATATTCATTTAGTAGAAGCCATCAAAAGTATATAAAAAAAAAAAACGAAATATAGATCTGTATTTTTATCAGATTGATTTTTTTTGAAAATGTATGAAAGTCACGGTGTAAGCCCATCTTCATTAGCTTGTGCAGAAAATTAGAGACGTTCAACTTAATTTTTCTTGATTTTCAAAGCCATGGTCGGGCACACTTTCTCTTATAGCACACAGCATGGTGTGTGCCCATCTGCATTGGCATGCATGTAAAAGAACCATCTGGCTGTTGTTATTTGGGCAAAATTTCCCTCATATCACACTGTATGGTGTATACCTATTTTTATTATCCCAATCAGAGCAGAACAGTAAGACGTTAAACTCAATTTCATTTCATTTCACCTTCCTTGTCGACAGAGGCATAAATGCTGGGGACGGGGGGATGTTCGAGAAAACAGTTGTCGGTCTCTAAATTAGGCATCGGCGACTGAATGAATTAATGAGGTAAACAAACAATGCCAAAATCGTAGGGAAAAATCCCAAATACTTAACTGTGTATACATGTGATAGGATATCACAATATGCGTTAAAGGTTTGCGTAGTTTTCATGTATGGTGGTTTTAAGTAGATTGAATTAGACGATAAATTATATAATTCCTATACGTTTAGATTTTATATTCCTTAGGCTCAAAACCAAACGAAATTTTATTATTTAAATTTAAGCCGAGAAAGAAATCGGGTTTAATGTCCACTTGACCCAAACTAGGTCATTTCGGAACTAACATATGGTTCAATTTTATTTCAATAATTCGATTGTGCGTAGGGGTCTTTAGCAGTGGGAGGAAACCGGAAGAACCAGAGAAAACCGGAGGACCCAGAGAAAAGCCACGAGATTGGACATGCGACCTTACTCCTTGTCACATACAATCGGGGAATCGAAATCAGGTCAGTTGACTCAATGACAGACCTTATGATACAATGCACACATACTAACCATTCGGACACTCACCCCCCCCCCCCTCATTTATGCTGAAGGTGTTCAGATGTAACACGATATACTTTCATCATAAAATTTGTGTGCAGAGAAATTTTTCAATCTTAGAGAGTCCCTGAAATGCCATTTCCTGGAAATTGGGGGAATATTTTGCAGAAATGTGATGGTCAGAAAGCACTTAATACATGCTCCCTGATTGTGGCTGTTTCACTCATATCAAGGGTCTGTGCATCAGAACACCCCTTCCACCTCCCAAACAAAATCGATATGAACGCCCTTGCCGATCTGATAACACAGCTGATAAGATGTATTCATCATCATCCATCCCAGCTGTGTTTACAATGAAGATTAGATACATCCAACAGGGTTCAATAATATATCCGCAATCGTTAAATATCCAGTCTATTTATGGGGTCAGATTAGATGCATCCAACAGTGTCCGATAATATGTCCGCAAATATTAAATGTCAAGTCTATTAATGGGGTCAGATAACACTGTAATCTGGGTATCATTTAATCTTGTATATTTAGCACTAATTTCTTTCTCATTCGTTTAATATCAAAGCCTTGTTAAAAAATTCATAAAAATCATTTAAAATCACCAAAATTCATCTGATTTGTACTTGTGTCCCGTTTAAAGCTGACCATTATGTTTTGATAATGAGTGTCCAATTTAATTTCTCAATCACTGTTAAAAAATAAACAACCTAATTGATTACGGGTGTATAATGATTCATTTTTGAAATTTCTAACAAAGGTTTGATATTTAACAAATGTGAAAGAAATTAATGCTAGATACACAAGATTAAATCATACCTGGGTTACAGTGTTAGATGCATCCAACAATGGTCGATAAATATCTGAATTGTGACAATAATAATGCTAATTCTATCAGTTGTAAATACCAAAATTTCAGTGTTGAAATTTGTGTGTAGAAAACCACCGACAAATACTGATATATAGGGCCTGGAAAACTTGGGTAATTTTTAGGGGGTGTACAATGTACATGTAACTATAGTCTTCTAAGTAGGCCAAGTAGTAATCATGGAGAGAAGGAAAAATGGGGTTTAACATTTACTCTAGACAACTAGGTCATTTTGGGACTAACATATGGTACATTTTTATTTCACTGATTCGCTTGTAATCAGGCCTGGAAATAAGGCACCTCACAGACAATATCAGACACAGATTCAGTCTTTGTCAGGCACAAAAACCCTGGAGCCTGTCATTTTGTCCACGCATGGATTTGTCTTTTTTATTGATATTATTAACCCGTTAAGCGTGACGTTTTTAAAAAGTTAACTAACCCCTATTGTGTAATTAATTTGACAAAGTGACGAAGAACTATGTACTATGTTCTAAGAATAGGTTGGGGAAAATACCTCCAAGGTGTTATATTATGCCCTACACACAGTGAGTGGCAGTTGTCCAGGACGTAATATAACGTCCTACACATGCTGCAATCGTGGGGGATTTCCTAAGGGATTCCCCCAAGTGACAAACTATGTTCTAAGAATAGGTTGGGGAAAATACCTCCAAGGCATTATATTACGCCCTACACACAGTGAGTGGCAGTTGTCCAGGACATTATATAACGACCTATGCACTTAACGGGTTAATACATGTCGGGCATTAAGTTGAAAATGTCAGTTACTATTTCAGGTACATCTAAAACTGTTATTTCCAGGCCAGATTGTAATAAAAATAATTCCCTTTGTGCATAGGGTTTTTTTACAGTGGGAGGAAACCGAAATACATGTACCCGGAGAAAACCCACGAGGTTGGACAGGCAACCCTATTCCATGTCATGTACGTGGCGTGGTTTCGATTCCCCAGTTGTATGTGACAAGGAGTAGGGTCGCCTGTCCAACCTCGTGGGTTTTCTCCGGGTTCTCCGGTTTTCTCCCACTGCTAAAGACCCCTGCGCGCAAGCAAATTATTGAAAAAAAATTGAACCATGTGTTAGCACCGAAATGACCTAGTTTGTGCCATGTGATCTTAACCCCCCCCTCTCTCTCTCTCTCTCTCTCTCTCTCCAACATCCTGTAATTGTGAAAAAAAAAGACATAAATAGATGACAAATAGACAAATGAAAGATTTCCTTCAATAAATTCTGATGATGTGATAGATAGTTGGCCGTGTTGAAACCTTCTCTACCTTGGATCAATATATAGGATCATTGAAAACATATAAAGCAACATGATAAATTAATTGTTGACTGTTTGGACAGATTCCATATAAAAACAGGAAACCAATTAGACACTGATGAGTCATAACACGGAACCAGATATAGCAAGAAGAGTTCATAGTTAAAGATACATTATGTAAGATTTACAAAAAGAGCTGACAGTTCGCGCTATAATAGTTCAAAAATAGATAATGATAAGGGATTATGTTGAAAATTTTAGTCAAATTGCTTTATTCTGAGCCAAGTTATGAGTGTTTGAATGCTAGCAGATTCTCAATTGTCATTGCTACCATAGTTACGATGATAGACAAAGTCTTGATTATCCATTTTATACGCTTTCCATTTGGGGCATATATTGCTGTCGCCCATGTCCATCCGTCCATCCATCCGTCATCCACAATTTCATGTGAACGCTCTAACTCCAAACGTTTTAATCCGATTGTTTTAAAATTGATATATGTGTATTACATTAGTGAAATGAAGAAGCCTATTTAATTTCTGTTTGTTACATCTAGAGTTATTGTCCTTGATTCACATTGTTGAACCTTGTGAACGCTATTACGCCAAAAGTTGTCAACCGATCTTTGTTAAATTTATATGCATTATTTAAATTAATGAAACGAAGAAGCTTATTGGATTTCAGCAATTTCTGTCAATTATAGAGTTATGGCCCTTGTTTCAATTTGCTGCACCTTGGGAACGCTCTAACATCAAAAGCTATCTACCAATCAGTATGAAATTTATATGCATCATTTAAATTAGTAAAGAGAAGAATCATATTGAATTTCAGCAATTTCCGTTTATTACTTCTCGGGTTATGACCCTTGTTTCACTTTGTTGCACTTTGTGAACGCTCTAACCTCTAAAGTTATCTGCCGATCTGTATGAAAGTTATATGTGCCATTTTAAGTTAGTAAAAAGAAGAATCCTATTGAATTTCAGCAATTTCCGTTTATTACGTCTAGAATTATGGCTCGTTTCACTTTATTGAACCTCGTGAACGCTCCAACGCCGAAAGTTATCATCCGATCATTGTGAAATTTATATGCATTATTCAAATTAGTGAAACCACGAAGCCTATTGAATTTCAGCAATTTACAATAATTACTTCTAGAGTTATGGCCCCTGTTTCACTTTGATCAACCTTGTTAATGCTCGATTGATTAAAGTTATCATCTGATATGAATGAAATTTATATGCATCATTTAAATTTGTGAAACAGAGGTTTTTTGAATTTCAGTAATTTCCGTCAATTATTTCTAGAGTTTTGGCCCTTGTTTCTCTTTGTGAACTTTGTGTACGTTTGAATGACAAAAGTGATCATCCGATCTGTATGAAATTTATATGCATTATTTAAATTAGTAAAACGAAAAAGCCTGTCAAATTTCAACAATTTCTGTAAACTACTCCAGAGTTGAGACCCTTGTTTCAGTTTGTAGAACTTTGTTAACCCTCAAACGACAAAATTATAATCTGATCTGTATGGAACTGTCTTGTAAAGGCCCCCAATTACCTACAAAGGAATAAATATGC